TTTGCATAATTAACTAAATATAATTTGATACTAATTTCTTGACTTAGTTATAGGTACGCACATTAATAGTTAATGCATATCCTCTAGGTATGCTGAAGAATTATCCAATTCACCTTAATGATTCCCTGACAGTGAGTGTGGCTTCAGCTGCTTCTTCAAGCTCAGTGAACCCACTGCCCACCCTGAGTCTGGTCCTCCATTCCCTGATGTCCAGAGGAATACATTACTCATATCTGTGTCTTGCCTCTTTTCCCAATGTTGTTTTTTCTGCCACATATGGATATCATTTTCCCCCTCGAGTTATTTGCCCTCCAATTCTCTGATTATAACTTAGGGCTTGACTGAAGGTTCTACAAAAGTTGTAAAGATTTCATGAAAGCACAAGTAGACTTAGCCGGACAGTGTGTCACGTGTCTTCAGGGGAGTACCATTCTAGGACTTGGTTCATTTGAGCAACTATTTTAAAATAAGTGTTTATATGCATCATCTTGGATTCAAGGAAGTGCTACCATAAATTTCATAAAAGGAAAATGGCAGTATTAGCTTCTCACGGTCTATTCCTGTAGATCTTGGTTGGACATGATGCTTTCCTGCTTTCAACCTTGCACAAGAGTACATTCCTAATATCTAAATCTAGGATTCCTACAATTTTGTATTTGACAAGCTTTGTTTACTTACTTGATCTCCTGCCTCGAGTATTTATAAGCAATCTGAAGACTGACATTGAAGTTCTGACTTACTCATCTTTGGATTTATTACAGCACCCAGAGCAGTCATATTACCCAACAATTATGTGAAGAGTTACAAAGAAGCACATGACACTCATAAATGCATAAAGTTACTTTATTTTAAGTATACATTTAATTTTGAAAAATATAAATGCTAAAATATCTCATCTTCTTCATCTCTTAATTCCATAAAAGTCACAATAGAAAGCTTCATAAAACTGTAAAATACTATAATGTTATAGGAATTTTAGGTTTCATATTGGAAAAAAATTATTAGTAATATATTGAAATGTTTTCTGTTCTTTATCATTTTGTTCCACCATGTTGATCTACTTCATTTAAAATAAAAAGATGCATTATTTCTCTAAAGTTAATAAAGACTTAAGAGAATAAAAATAAGAATATCTGAAAGTGCGTATTGATTCTGAAAAGCAATGTGTACGGATATGTACCAGCCATAGAAATGGCTTAAAAGAGGCAACTATTCACTTTTTCACATTGTAGGACTGGGACAAAGTTACTTCTGGCTCTAAAAGATTCACTGGATGACTAGCCCTGAGTTGGAATTTCATTGTAATGTTTGTCTAGGAAACAGAATTCAGAATTTGTGTATCTACCCACCGAGCACAAAGAAATGAGCCAAGAAATAGGACATACTCGAAGTTTTGGTGAAAACAAAACTTGACCGATGAAGCATCTATTACAAAACTTTTATTTCTGGCTGTAATGAAAATCAGCGAAATCATCTTCTGAAAAGTCCTAAGACCATTCAGCCAGTCATATGCTATAAAATATTCTTTGACTGTATTTCAGCCACTCGATTCCAACAGTCTTCACATGCAGGCTGTGAAGAGCAGCTGCTAAATGTCATGAACGAGATAAGAAAATCACGGACTCCGGCACCCAGATCACTAAGCGGCATGGAAAGTATCGAAGAAAACTTTGTCCCATCCCTGAACAATGCCATTCTCTCGCATAGAATTCCAATGGTTTTATTTTTAAAGATAGGATTCAGCAGTCAATACATTTTGCGGACTTTAACACAATTAAAAAAAAAAGCCAAACTTGGAAGGCAATCGTTCTCTAAACACCAGTATATAGCTGATAAAAGATTTACTCTGTGTGTGGGGGGGGGGGGGCGGGTGCGTGTGCATAAAACACACACAAACTGAGTTACTGATGTTGGTCAATTATTTTCCCTCATTCTTTCAGGTCAGGAGTTGGGCTGGGAAGGGTTTTTTTGTTGTTGTGTTTTCTTATTCTTCAGTAATATGTTTCCCTTCCTCCTTCTCCCCACGGCACCCATTTATCTCTCCAGCCAACCCTACCCCACTGTCTGGCAGAAACAAGAACGCTACTGTCTATGGCACATGAAAAAGGATTCCCAGGTTATCTCACATAGTAGAGAAGAGTGGCTTGACAAAGGAGCACAGTAACCCCGAGAGATTCTTTCGAATGCAAAAACCAGAGGCACATATGCTTCTTTGACCACCTTTACCTGTCCTTCCTACAGCTACTCAGCGTCGGGTTACAAGAAGGAGTGTCCAGTTAGAAATAAAGGACTCACAACGGGACTCTTTTCCTTCAGAATTCATACCAGGTCATAATACTCTGGGCAACATGTCCTGTCATATGCTCTGGGTCCTGTTTGCGTAGAAATAAAGCCACACAGCCCTCCGGTTAGTTCGTAGACCATGAGCAAGTTCTGGTAAAATAGAGATCATGTTGGTAGCTACATTTGGACAGTAGGCTTTGTTTGTTTGGCGACTCCTTCTGATCCTCGGAAAGTAATGGCTGTTTGAAAACTTCCCTGGATTCCCTTCAGCAAAGGTAAGGTACTCTTCTGGGTCATATCGTAAATACAATATGCCAACGCAGAGTATGGGGCATCAATGGAGGGACAGACAGCTTGTAGATCGAGCCAAAGTCTATACAGATGAGTGTAGCTTCTCAGGAGTTCTTTGAAAAGATTCAAAGGAAAACAAAAAAAATGAGAGAGAGAGAGAGAGAAAAAAAAAAAAGCCCGATTCTTGAGTAGGAAAAAAGTGTTAAATCGGGAGCTTAAAAACAAAATACACACAAATGTTTTTCATTGAACAAGTGCACAGATGAAGCACAACTTATTAAACATGATGGTTTTAAATTTTTATCAATGTTCCCATCACTGAAGAAACGAGGAAAGCTCCCTACATAGTTCTCTGTGAGGGCAATGGAAAACTAGATTTCACAGAATCATTGTTTGAAGAATAGCTCTAAATATAAACAAGATGCCAAGAACTGACATGTGAGATTGTAATGCAATAACATGTAATGTCCTACTATAATTTTCATAAGAAATTGTAGTCTCTTTCTCTCTAATTTATCTAACATAAAAAGTTTAAGATGATTGAAAATTATAAAAATAAAAGCAAATTCGGATAATAAAATTTGGATCATCAAAATGTCAAGAAGACAGAATTGCAATATAATGTTAAAGTGAGTGGGAGCCACTAGGTGCATATTATGAAACCGAAATAAGTGGTTTTGCTCTGTTTCTAGCACTCCTTCGATAACCTCTTCTAGTTAGGGTATATCACAAACGTGGTTACATGAATCCACTGTTACGGATTCAACATTTAAACTGTTATTTATAGTGCACATTCACAGTATATAATACAACCTATTAAAAAATTACATTTAAATGCCATGCTAAATTTTGGTGAATAAAAGTCAGATTCTCAATATGGTTTTTTGAAACACACACACATATGCATACACACAGATATTTTATATGTCCCAATGATAAAGAACTGCCTTTGCATCCTAAAAGATATGTGTGCGTACTCTTAACGTGTGTAGGGATACACCTCTACATTCCCATATAGACTCCCCAGCTGTGCCAACGGTCTGTGCACATTCCTATGGGCACTGCATTGTTTCTGTGGGCTATTATATCAATGACAGTGACTGATATCTGGGTAACAAAAATGTACCCATCCTTGCATAATAAGAAATCTCTTGGACCCCGATGGGCTTTTTAGTATACAGTTTGGGCTTTATGAAAACTGAGGCAGGCAGCTCAGTAAGTGGGCCCATCAGCTACTCACACCCTTTCTCTTTCGAACTTTACACCAAGTGCACCTGCCACTCACAGAGCAGCAACACAAACACACAAATGTCTGAACTGAAACAAAGACCTACAAATACTGCATAGGGTGACGACATGGTAATACAATCCCCATCTGTGCCTGGGTGGCACGACATCAGAGGGTGATGTCAGTGATTCCCCTTCGCTCAGGGTGGGTGCCCTTCTCACCCAATCTCCATCATAGAACAGTTCGATTTCTCTTACATCAACGGGGAGAGGGGAATACTCAGAAACAGGGTGCTTTTAATCTGATGCAACTCCCTGGCTTTCCCTAGAAATGTGTATTTGTGTGTGTGTAAAAATCACATTATATACAATACAATTTTTACAGAAAGCCTGGCAGCTACAAATAAGAGGTAGAACTACTCAAAACTATGTTTCCTGCTGCAGGAAAAAATTCATTGTTTTACAGTAATTAAAAAAAAGTTTAAAAAATTGACAAAAAAGTAAGTTGCAGGTTAGGCCCCATAATTTAAACAACAAAATCTAGGAAGAAAAATATTCTTCAAGGTACTCAACAAATAAGTTCATTAAAGGGTTAAAAAAAGTTGCATAGGAAAAGGGACAATCCAGCACTCGCTACAACGGTGGCAACAGTTTCCGTACAGGGACTAAAGTACCGTTCGTTTTTCTCCTTTTAAGATTTAGGGCTTACAAGCAAGAGCAAGTTAGAGCAGCAGCACTGCTTCCAGTCCTGGAGAGAGCTCTCTAAGCGAGCGAGCGCGGAATCTGCCTGCAGGTCAGAGATGGTCTTACCAGCCAGGCAGGCGAGCCAGCAAGCACAGCTCGAAAGCTTCAGTATTTTAATAAAAGATGTCATAAAATCCTTAACACTTTTTGCCCTCTGCTTCAGAGAGGGGCAGGTCTGTGCATGTCTTGAGTGACGGAAATCGGGATGTCAGAGGCCATTTTGAAAGCCCCCGAAACGAAGGAAGACGCGTCAGGAAAGGAATGGTGCACTAGGTTTGGATGTTCCCCGTGCACAAGAAAAGCAGGGAGAGCCCTATAGTATTTGGCCAGTGAGCCCAACAGAACAAACACAACTTTAAAAACAAAGAACCAGAGGGGGGAAAATAACGAAGAACACAAAGAAGAACAACTGTCAGTTTTCAGGAAAATAAACAGGTTACAATGAAGTTTCTGTTCCCTTGTTCCTCCAGAAATAATCATTGTCTTCAGGCTCCATTTCTATTCTAATTTGAGGCACAACTTTGACCGGAGTTCTCGGAGGGCTAGGAGGAAAAGGAAAAGAAAGGCACAAGTAAGGTCATGGCGTTTCTGCCACCACTGAGGCACGGTCTATGCATCGTACAGAAACAGGGGCTCTTCCTTTGTTAAACACTCATCTCGCCCTTCCTTACTCAAACGAATCGATCATTTAAATGGGATAAAGGTAGGGTTAAGAATCAAGTAAAAATATCATAAAGAAAGAAAGAAACGGGGAAGGGGAACTATCAGCGATGAGTCAAGGGGAGGGTAAGTCAAAAAGTATTGCTACTCAGGTTGCAGCACATACGGGCACACATCTAGTGCCCCCCAAGATCATGCTTCCATATGCCTCTGTCACCAGTGACTGCAACTGCACACAAGTTCTCTTCAGTGACGCACTTGTGTTTTTCTCCTTTGGATCCCTTGCAAAATTAACAATAATAATAATGATGATGAATAATTTTCTTTTAAAATGCCAAATCAAAACAGTGGCTTCTTAGGGGATCTGCTGGGCTCATTACATTCGAAGCAGAGAAATAAATTCAAAAGTTTATGACAACTGGCTTATTATTATTCTAAAAGGATCATCTTGGCAGATTTTCCCTTAGCACAAAGGACAATCATGAAGGCGTATTAGGACAAAAATGTAAGAAAATGGAAAACCACAATGCTGAGAAAGGCTGTGAGAGCTGCACCAAGGATTTTGTCCCCCGTCAACAAGGAGGCACCGCCCATTTCCCCAGGGCAGCGAGGGCTGTCCGATGCGAATCTCAGGAGAAACCTATCCATCTACCAGACAGCCCTGATCGTGCCCTTTCAGACTCCTTTTTGTTTCCCAAACTCCAAGAACATTTAGAAGGAACCCAGTTTGCATCTTTCAAGGGTGCTAAGATAGCTGTTTTCATGTGGCATAGACCTAAGAGAGGTGGAAGGACCACGTTCACAAGTGCATGGACCTAGACAGAGGCGATGCAAAGAAAACAGCTTCACACTTTAATACTTCTGTTTAATAAAGGTTTCTCTGATTTCGTAGCAATACTTTTGGGCTTACCCCTGTACCAGCAGAGGTTAAAGTGGCAGGGGAGGGTGTGTGCTTATATTAAGTCAAAGAGATTTTACTCTTTTTAAAATGTAAATGGGACCTGAAATCCCTTGGGAGACTGAAGGAAACTACTGAAGGAGAGCCGCCAGGAAATGCCAGCTACCCCTAAGTCACAGGTGAGCCCGAGCTCTAACGTAATGGACACAAAAGATTCCATCATTTCTAGGTGGGCATGGGTCGCTTGGGGTGCTTTCCACCAACAAAAGCCGGGGGGAGACTTGCAGACTCGGTAATTTATTTAAGATAAATCATGGAATGGAATCAGAAAAAGAGCTCTGGAAATAGCCACCAGAGACTACATATGTGTGGGACAATCGATGGTCCCATGGAACCCAAAACCCCGGGCGGGGCTGTACCTTGGCATGCCCAGTGACGGAAGGAAAGGAATTTTATCAGCATGATGTGTGGCGTTCAAGGAATGTTGGTGATCTTTCTCCTGGAGGAAAAAAAAAAAATTAAGAAATCATATGCGGTAAGTCTTCAGTGAGTAAAGATAAAAGTGTTTGCCAAAGTCAGTCTGTACCCCCTCACTGACATATTTGTCACGATTTTAAAGAGGACAGACCACTTGAGAACATTGAAATAGATATTTTATCAAACTAAGAATCTAAGTAGTCTAATGAGGCCAAGATCCTGTAGCTTCCTCTACTCTAGATTTTCTGGGATGGACCCTTGGGCTCCTGATAGTAAGGAGGGAAAAAGAGGAATGGTCTCTTGATGGCGAGGGCACAGAGGTGGGTGTCCAAGACTTGGCCTGGCTTTTTTGTCCACCTGCGGTTATTCAAGTGGAACACGCCACCCGAGATACACTGGAGAAAAGTACCACTTCCTTTATATCTATTTTTTCTTTTACAGATTTTGAATGATCAATATGACATTACAAAATATTTTTGTTTGAATAAATGTGCTTATTTTGCTTAAGTAAATTTCTAATAAATCAATTCATTTGTATCCTTTTAAAGTTGCCCCACCACCACCACCTTCCTGAGGGTAAATAACCATTAGCACTACATAATAAAACTTCCCTTAACTTTTTCCAAAAGCCTCCAATTCTGAATAAAGACTTTTTAAAGCCATCTTTAAATTGTACTTAGGGTATTCCAGGCTAGGATGCCAACTTTAAAGGCCTTTATTCATGAGGCGGCTTCAAAGGGTCTGTGGAAAATTCCATGATTTTTTCATTCAATATTTCCACTAGTTTTTTGAAGCCCCCTTATTTTACAGTCTCCTTTTATCATTAATGCTATAGAGATTTTTTTTAAAAAGAAAAAGAAATCCCATTGAAAAGAGTATGCAAAATTTAAATCTTAAATTGGATACCAAAGGTGAGACTGTTTTAACACTTTATCCTTTAAACCCAGTATGTAAGTTAGCCTCCAAGATGGCTCGCTGGGATGTCCACCTCCTAGGATTTCTGTCCTTCTAAGCTCATGTCCCACATTGTACCGGGCGGGGGGTGGGGGTGGGGGGTGGACATCTCCAAGACAATGTGGCAGAACTGGTGATACGAGGGGGTACACCCCAAAAACTGATGCAAATTTTTTTTTTTATGTGAGAGGGATAGAGCATTTGGAGTTCATTTCACCAGGCCAAACTGTTAATCAAGCTTTCTATTTAGAGGATCTGAAAAGCGTTCTGTAACAGCATGCGACAAAAAAGGCCTGATTTGTGGCAGACAAGGGGACTGATTTTGCCACCACGACAGTGCATCTGTTCATGCTGTTCATCTCAGTGCGTCAGTTTGGGGCAGAAAACAGCATGCCTCTCTTGCCCCACGCACCTTACTCACCTGTCCTCACTCTGTGTGACTTCTTTTTGTTCCCATGAATGAAGAGGGACAAGAAGAGACAGGGATTTGATGACATAAAAGGGGTGAAGAAAAAAATCAAGGGAGGTGCTGTCAGCCATCCAAACAGATGAGTTTGAAAAATGTGTACAAGAATGGAATCGCAGATGTGACACACATATTAAGTGTAATGGAGAGTACTTTGAGGGTGGTAAGGTTGTTATGTTAAAAAATGAAGAAGAAGTTAAATACATAGCTTTGGAGAAAAAAATCAAGGTTTTTGGGGGTACCCTCTTGTATGTTACCATTCTGAGATATGGTTGTGTTTTTAAAAATGTGATTTCTCACTGTTTTCTCGTACTTGTGTCTTTGTGATATAACTTGCCACAGTTTACTGGGGTCAGTTGATGTAAACGAGAAAACATGGCAAAAGTGGTGGACTGTTACTTCTGAACTATGGTCGTCCGAGAAACATACAGCTTTTATTGTGTTTTTTCTCCGTCTCTCCTTTATTGCTCTGAGGGAAGTCCTGTCAGCAGTATCTCCTTAAGGAGAAACTCACATGAGAGGGAACTGAGTTTCCTGGTCTTACCATTGACCTTAGAACCTGAAATTCCCCTGCTCCAGTCCCACCTTCAGAGACTGCAGCCCCAGGCAAGAGCTCAGCTGCGCTCTCATGCAATGCCCTAAACCAGACTCACGAAATTCAGCTACCCTTAACATTTTGAACTTCAAAGCTGTGTGAGAAAATAGCTGTTTGTTGTTTAAATTTTTACACTAATCTGTTATTCAGCAATAGATAATTAATATGCCCATCTTTCCCATAAATAGTAATTTCAAACTTTTCTTGGAAACCTGCTATTGAAGTTACATTGTCAAGCAGAATTAACTATGAGCCTCAGCAGGGGTCTTTTTTCCTGTAAGAGAGCAATGCACTCTAAAGCCTCTATGGAGCTGCAATCTCAAAGTGCACAGTAGTTTGCAGTCAATACTACTACCTGGTTTTTGAAAAGCTTAAGATATTCACTAATGCAACAAGAGAAGTTTTTGTCCTTTGAAAATGGCATATTACATCAATTACAACAGAAAAGATAACCTGTCACAAACCATAATACCGTACCAGACCATAAGCTAGAAAAAGCAGCACAGTTACGGAAAGTGTTTGCATTCAGAAGTAAAACAAACAAACAAAAAAATTAGGAAGAAAAGGCGTGCCGCTTATAAAGTATACCTAAAAAAGGTTGCTCATGATTTCCAATTTAATTGAAAATAACAATTATTCCAAATTCTCAATTTTAGCAATGGATTCATTGATCATTTGAGAGCCCCGTGATGCAATTTATCTTTTGAGCTGATTTGGTCATTGAGCGAAACCTAAGGAAGACAAACAGTAACAGACAGTGATGTAGGACTAGAAGCTGCAAGTTTTCAGTACCAGCAGAAGGAAGAAAGTGAATAAAAAACCAGGTTATGAGTCCAGCCATTGAGAAACTGGTGATGACTTGGGCCAGAGAGAAAACACAAAATTTAAAGTTGTGGATGAAAGGAATGAGTTAAGAATGAAACTCAAGGGATGTAACAATAAGGTCTGATAATGAAGTGTACATCTCACATAGAAAACAAAGAGCAAACATAAGGAAAATTAATGGAGATGGGCAGTTCTAATGTTTTTTTTCTCTGCAAGTGCAAATCATATTCAGCAGGCGTGCAAGAGGGTAGTTCTACTCACTGTCGGAAGGTTTGCTATCACTTAGGAAAGGCTGCTGTTCCATGATGTCCATTGGAATTTTAATACTTGGAACTTTTTCTGAGTATGGGCAGTCAGACTGTGAACGAAAATGGACAAAAGTTTTTAGAATGTTTTTACGCTACAGTGCTCACGACCTCCCAGAACAGATCAAACCTAGCAGACGATCAAATACATGGTAGGAAGAAGAAAAGTCCTGGATGTACTCTTTCACCCTTTGCAAGCTTCTCGAACCCTCCACCAGGGCAACATGTTTATTTTCCCCTCTGCTGCGTGTGTGGGGCTGGGTTGACGAAAACTAGAACTATATCAAGTGGAGATCCCTACCATTTCAAGCAAGTCTAAAGCTCTCTAGCAACCCAATTCCCAATCAACAAACTGCATGGTTTTGATGTAAGTGTGAAACAAATAATCTCAAGGAGAAAACAGAAGACATCTTCTCTGTTCGCACATTCAAGGAACCCTTCTAAGCCTTATTTTGGTGTTGAAATTCTTGTTGTGTTTATGTTCTTTGGCTCTGTTTCCAGGAAATGGATGACCCCTAACTCCCTTCTCCATCTCGGCTGTCGCGTGGCCTTCCATATCACGTGCAGAGGATCTGGAGGGAGTCGACTACTCCACTCAATATTGCTACTGGTAAAATTTCATTTCAATTAGTTTGTCCTGAAGATTGTTGAATTTTTAAACAAAATATGAGAAAAATAATCTGAAAAGAATGCTGCCAGCATCAAATCGTGTACAGCTCGGCAGTTAAAGAGGGGCCCTCTGTCAAAGCTGTACTATATTTCAACCAGTTGATAACTTTTTGATGTTTTTTCTTTGTTTTATTTGATACAATCTTTAATGCTGAATCCAAATCTATGTTTTTCTTGAAATGATCCAATTATTTCCTGTAACAAAAATATCAAAAGACTCTCTTTGAAAGAAACATGAGAACTGGGGTTCAAAGAAAACAAAGGGAAAATAAAATCTTAACACAAAGCTGATTATTCCACGTCGAAAATTCCTTTATAAATGGATCTGAAGAGGTGAAAGAGATGTAATTTTCTTAGAAGATTCGGATAATAAATGTAAAAGAACAAACAAAAAAACCCCAGAAGATGCCACATGCATCTACTTGTGTAAGAATTCTAAGAGAGACATGTCCTATTACAGTATTTCAAACATTTGCCAAAATATTATCATGTATAGATGGATAGGCTGGCAACCAACCATTAAGCACAGAATACCAGACACACTCAAATGACTACGGATGGTGCAAATGCTGGCACATTGTAATTTCCACTGCGCTCAAAATATTGGAGCTCCAAGACTCCAGGTGGCTCCCTGGATGCACAGACCCCACATTATGAGACAGGGCGGGGACGATCCGAAAAGCTACTTTCCAAATGTAGAAACCTCAAATAGCAAATCAACAAATGGAACTTGCTTCACACATGGGCTGGGTTCGCTAAGAAGAAATATGTAAATCAGTTTTCTTTTAGGGGAAGAAGAGAAAAGAGGAAGAAACAGGCAAAATGTAGCATTATCTACAAGAAATCTGGAGCTGGAAAAAGGGAACTGAATACAGAAAATATCATTAATAAAAGGTAAATATCATTAATAAAAAGATCAAACCCCAAACCAAACTTAATGTAGGGGATAATCATTAGGCTGCTAAATGCAAGGTCAGCAGTTTGAAACCAGTAGGTACTCCCCAGGAGAAAAATACGACTGTGCCCCCGGGAAGATTTGCAGCCTCCCCAAAGGGACATTTCTGGTCTGTCCTAAAAGGTCACTCTGAGGTGAATAAAAGCACATAATCATTTAAATAAGGTATGAATTTGTTGATATCAAATGCAAAAATCAAAGGTTTCTCAGATACTCCTTTGATTTGGTACTAGTGAGCATGAAATATAAGACACTCCCTAAATTTGATACTGAAATAATATATTTTTTACTGAAAATTGTTAGAAAAGAGAATTCCCTACTACTACTTCATGCCTTCGAATGTGTCAGGCAGGACTTGTCAGTTGAGCACCCGTGTCCATAGCTGCAGTACCTGTTTAGAAAAGTCAAGGTGAAACGCTGCTTTAGCTATCTTCATACTTCAGACAGCCTTTAAAAGAAAAATCCTGACTGGTCCGGAAATTTACTTCAAAGTTTGATTTCTACTCAAATGTGTAAACAAACAATTTTTCTTAATAGCACCAACGGAAACACATTCCCTCTTTTTCTGTCATTATTGGAAACAGAAGATCCATCCACTTTTTCTCATGACAGTTGTCAAAGCTCCCTCAGACTGATGTTCTCTGTAGTTAAATGTGCCTTGTAGAGTTAGCCTTTTATTATTGGATTAATTCATATGAGATCTAACCTGCCTGTTGCCCTCCCTCACTGTATTCTTTCCAAGCTGTCCAAATAGAATATGCTCAGATAGCCTGATTATTTGCCTCTAATAAGCCCTAATTTAGAATTTTAGTTTGGCCACCTCTGGCTGTGTAGACATGGGACAATGATCCAAAATTTCTCAGTCTAAAACTTTTCATCTTATGGTGGTGGTGAGTGGGGGACGGGGTAGAAAGAATAAAAGTCTGTACTTAAAACAACAACAAAAATTAGCCAGGTGGTTAGGGATAAGGTCAGCATTATCAATCCACATGTCAACCACAGAGGAGCTACATACGAAAAACAACTCGAGACCCGCTTTACAGCAGGTGATGTGAAAAACAAATGGCCCAGCACACTGCTTAAAATCCGGGTTGAATCTTCACACAGAAAACGTCATGTGGGCAGTCCTTTCAATAGGCCATCGGGGAAGTTGCGTGTCTGCGTGCATGCGTGTGCTTGTGCGTGTGCATGCATGTAAGGAAAACACACTCCAGCTTCTCTTCTAGCACTTAGGACAGACCCCGAGCGAAGCATCTGTGTTTCTGCAAAGGAGTCTCTTGGAGAAAGGAAACGGGCAATAATTTTATGTCTTCACTGAAAGGCCCAGTTGCAGGAGGGCCATCTGGACTGACAGTGAACACTACAATTATATAAAAAGGTTCCAAACTCACAGCCTTTTTTCCCTTTTACTCAAGCGTTTCAGAGAAAGAATCCTCCATCGTGTTAGTATGAATACAAAAGTAGGACATTGTGTTGGCTGGTCTACTCAAGCAGACAGATCATGTGGATGAGGTCACCAAGGTCGGCCCACATTCTGCTTAATGTAAGATACAATCATTTGACAGCTAGTCCTTCAAATATAAGCCCAGATTATCTGTAACATGCAGACACAGTTTAGAGCATGACTATCCAAATTTCCTTTACAGTGGATTATTAAGAAAATGATGTATTTTTGGAAGTCAGCGTGTCACTTTGAATGTCTTCAGCATTAGTGAAAGACTTGAGAAAATAGAAAACATGAAAGAGGAAAAATCAAGGTCAAGGAGAGGGCCCGGGAAGGACATGTGACATGGTTAGGTATGCCCTCTTAGAACTCAGCTCTTCATCTCACACATGTCTCATCAGGACCTATAATTTTATTGCCCTTGTTTTACATTTGTGACTTTACTGTGAAGTTCCGGGAAGCTCCTTACATCATCGTTGTCACTGTCCAGGCTTCCTTTCTTCTTTTTTTTCTTCTTCTCATCCTCCTTCTTCTTCTTGTCCTTTTCTGGAATGACGTCATCTAGGAAGCTGAGGTCATGCTGGGAGAAGAGGTAGTCCATGCCCTTTCTGACAGCGACAAGTGCCAAGATCTGGGAGGAGAAATGCAAAACGTATGAAAGAGTGCCCTGCTGGCGGAAGCCATTGCGAGTACAGCCATGCCACTTCAAGCAGGAAGGTCTCTGTCGGGCATGGTTCACACAGGACAGTCTTCCTATGGCTCCTGTGGGTTGGGTTGCCTGCACATTTCCTTCGTGGTGAAGGTGGGCTCAGGGAAGGCTTAGCTAAAAGTCACTTGTTGTTCTCTGAAAAGTATAATCTCATTGGCTTACCATTTGAATGTGAAATCATTATATTTGGAATGGCTTCCTTTCTTGTCATTATGTTAAATACAATATTGAAAAGCTCAAAGGGAAAGGTAGCCTATATAGGGTTTCTAATTATTCACAATTAAAATACTGTGCAAGCTTTTGAAAGTCAAGAAACTCTGTAGAGCACACAGCATCATAAAACATCTTGAAACTCTTGTAAGTGCAGTGTCCCTTGATTGTTCGCACAGACTATTTCAAGCAGGTGTCACTGGCGCTGCAGAGTTCAACAGGAGACTCTGACTGACAGGCTGATGGTTCAAAGCTAGCTAGACCCGTGGGTCATGACCCCTTTGGGAGTCAAACGACCCTTTCACAGGGGTCGCCTAAGACCATCGGAAAAAAACATCTTTCTGATGGTCTTAGGAACCGGACACCGCTCCTCTATCCGTCTCCAGGTGGGTCCGACCACATGCAGATACGCCCACATACGAGTACCCGGTGTGAAGACGGGTACCCATGCTACACCATGCTTCAAGACAACATTTCATTTATTTTGTCATTAGAAATAAATACTTCACAATATATAATTACGTATTGTTTTATGATTCATCACGATGCTTTAATTATGTTCAATTTGTAACAATGAAAATACATCCTGCATATCAGATATTTACATGACGATTCATAACAGTAACAAAATGACAGTGATGAAATAGCAACAAAAATAATTTTATGGTTGGGGGGGTCACCACAACATGAGGCACTGTATTAAAGGGTTGCGACATTAGGAAGGTTGACAACTATTGACCTAGAGTGAAGACCTGCCAACCCGCTTCTGGGAGGTCACAGCCTTGCCAACCCTGTGGCGCACAGCTCCGCTCCAACCACACGGGGTCACCACAACTTTTCACTGAGATCACTACCATTAATTGCTTCCCCACTGCCCACTGCTATTTCACTGACTCTGACTCACAGTGACTCTCCCTAGGGTTTCTGAAGCTTACCGTGTATCACATGCTATGCTAAACATTGGCATCTCAGTTACTCTCTAGACAACCCTGGGCAGACTTTATCATCTCCATTTCTCAGCTGAGGAAACTGAAGCTTAGAAACAGTAAGTGTCTTGTCCTAGGTCACAAAGCCTGATAAAGATACCAATAGTCCAACTTGTCGACCTCCAAAGCAAGTATTCTTGAACTCTGTATCTTTGACTCTAGGATTTATTCTTGAAGAAAAAACCCTAGATGACATTTCGAAAGTCATGAAACCTCTCTAAATTTGGACTGAACTGTACTCTACCTGTTCTCACTCACTCTCATCGAGTCGATGCTGACTCGTAGTGACCCTCTAGGACAGGGTAGAACTGCTTCTGTGGGTTTCTAAGACTATCACTCTTCCCAGGAGTAGAAAGCCTCGTCTTTCTCCCATGGGGTAGCTGGTGATTTTGAACTGCTGACCTTGTGGGCCACAGCCCAACGACACATATTAAAAAAATCATAAAACCTAACTTGTGCTTGTGTCTACTATGTATTAGGCATTGTGCTATTGTATGCTAGCACATCTATTTCGACTCAGCATATCTCCTAACACTGTCCCATCGGGTTTCCTAGCTTCTAATCGTATTGGGAGCAGAGCTTTCCCAAGTCAAAGTGGGAAAAATTAGAAGCACAATTAAATACACATGGGTGGGCCTTAGATTTCCCAATAGCCATACGAGAGCTATATGTTGTCATAAGTAGGTTCAGTTAAAGGGTCCCTACCATGACTGGAAAAATGATAGCAGCCACAGTTGACTTTAGGATCCAGAGCAGCGCCAGACACACCATCTGCAGGAAAGTGAACAGGTGCACTCTGCGCAGCGGCACGTGACGCAGGTAGATAAAGTCGGGCTGATGCTTCAGGGGCATCAGAAGCAGCTGCAGGCGATCCATGAACTGGGGAAGGCAGGAAGAAAGCAAAACTGCATCATTTCAGGATCTAGTACACACGCCCTATTCACTGAGCCGAACTAACCACAAGCGATTTATATTTAGGCAAGGAGTGTCCTTTTCCAGGGACTTTTCCACTGGTTTGAGGATGCAGAAATTTAGTCTAGAAGAAAGCAAACCTGCATTATTTCAGGATCTAGTACACAACGCCATATTCACTGATCCGAACTAACCACAAGTGATTTATACTTAGTGAAGGAGTGTCCTTTTCCAGGGACAAAGCACTGGTTTGAGAATGCAGAAATTTAGTCTAGCACAGTTACTGTAAGACATAAGGCACATCTAGCTTTTGTTATCTCTCCATAAGGATCTTATGCAGACATAGGAGATAATGTTGTACTTAATCAAAGATATAAGCAACAACACAACATATAAATTCTAGATGCTCATCTCTTAGTTTCTACTTTTATTATCTGAGCCTCCGAAGGGAGGTTCTGGTGCCCATGTTAGTGGCAATCCACTCAATAAAGCTCTCAAACTCATGCATTTTTCTGTGTCTCAGTTGTCCTGTCTGGAATAGGAGGAGATAATTCTACACAGAATATACATTTTAGGGATGTATTTCAAGAATTCTTAAAAAAAAATTCAACGTGAAAAGGGGAATCAGTTTCTAATTTCATGCATTTTGCATTATTTATCTATGGCATCGCTACCAAGTTCAACAATGTACTATCATTTTTTTTCAGCAACAAATCACATCAATGTTACAATGAGTTGTGAAATATAAACAACTAGGTATTTATTTCAAGGAAGGATGACCACACTCTCACTTATATGTACTAAAATCACAACTGGGCACCTGCTTGCCAAGCACTATGCTTCAAAGAGGAACTACTGCGTTGTGTTGAGAGGATGAGGATGAGGATGAGGATGATCGTTAAGAACATAGGATAGGGCCTCTGAGATAGCAGAGGGTCAGTAAACAGCGGTTGAATCGCATGTTATGTTGTAAGATGGGAATCGATTAGGAACATGGAGAAAGCCTCACTCTGGAAAGAAAAGGGATCTATAAAAGCAAACTGCCCTTGCACAGACAACCCTCTATAAAAGGAGGAGGGAATGTCCGGCCTGCAGGTTGTACACGGCCCATGAAATCATCAATACCAATTAACATCACATGTCTCATTAAAGAGAAGCAGTTCCAACCATTTGTATTAGGGCTGAATTAGTTGTTTGACCCAATATAGCAGGCTAATTTTTAAGTTGATAATTTTGTATGGCCTGCAAATTATGTTATAAATATCCAAATGGCACTTGGCGGAAAAAAAAAGTTTCCCACTCGCGATCTATTAGATTAGTTTGATTCTATTAGATTGTCCTATCTAAACTGTTTTCCTTCTTTGTCCGAGGCTAATTTTAACTGAAGGGGATGGGTTTCTCATTTATAAAGATTGGGTTACAAATTGTCTTGCTAAATAAAATCTTGTAAAAAATATCTTTAAAAGGTATTAAAAAGAGAAAGGTAAGAAAAAATGGTGCAAAAGCATTTCAGAATTGAAGAAATTCCCTATCTGTTCCTTCAGTCGGGTTCTATTAACAGAAATGGATGATTCTTCCCTTCTATTTAACTTAATAAGCATATTCTAAGTACCAATCATGGATAGATAAAGCACTCTGAAGCAGGGTACATTCTGGTTGACCCCCTGCTGAGAATCTGGGTTTGTTTGCACCTCAAACACAAGCAATCCTAGGCAGACTGATGTCTGACTTAAAGAAAACTCTGACTTGCTCTTTCATTGGAGCTTCAGACCAGTTCTGTCATGGTGGATGAAACAAACAGGAAGAGGCAGGAGATGGTACCATTCTCAGTGATTCTTTATGGTAACCAGAACAGGAAAATGCACTGGTTTAAGGCCTGAAATGGGAGACGAGGAAGCGGCAAAGTAAGCTCCTTCAGGAGTCTGGAGCATAAGACTGTGTCACTGGCAAGACGGTGGAGAGTCAACACATTTCAAGCAGCATGGTTGGCGGTCCTCTGGAATGGAGGTGCCACCATCTTTGAGCAGGGGCTTACTGCCTTCTCCCAAGCTCTGCTTTGATGTTGTGCAAATTTGCCCTCATTGCACAATGACTGAAACAAGTTCCTATTGAGCGAGTGGGTTCACTCGTAGGGATCCTCTGTAGGGTTTCAGAGGCTGTGAATCTAATGGGAACAGACAGCCTCACTTTTTTTTCACCCTGAGGTTAGGCTGGGGTATTGAACCACCTACCTTGCAGTTAGTAGTCCAAGGTCTCCCTGACAGTGCCACCAGGGCTCCTTGAATCGACCCATACTCAACAAATTCCTCATCAAAACCACCTTCATTTGCTGCATGTGTTGCATTTAAATGGCTGCAAAGGCTTTTTGACTTTCTTTACCTAACGCTAAATTAATAAATGACGAGCATGGGGTCTACAAATCCTTTACGGCATAGGCTCCTGCTGTAGCCCGGGGACCGCTGGGATACTGAATCAGAACTGACCTTTTCCTAAGCTCTCCTTAAGATTTACCTTCGGCATCGTACTAAAATGTAGACTAGAATGCAGTGGATCTGGGGTGAAAACGCAAATATTCCCAGCTCGGGGCTGAGCCAGAAAGAACCGGTTGCTCCTCTTCCTCGAACACGTACAGTCACATTTCAGAGGCAGAGAGGCTTGTTAAGGCCAAACAATAGTCAGACTCATTCACTTGAATGTTCCATGTTTTATCATTTATGAAATAATGACAAATATTTATAATACCTGGTAAAGAAGTCTGTTTTATAAATATGTACTTCCCAAAGTTTATAGGCACAGATAAAACCCATATTCATGTGCATGTAGTCACATTCACATATATGTTGAATCAGCTTGTACTGCTTGTATAGTGTAACACATAGCCCAGTGGTGAAGGACGCTACTGAATGCACCCCCCCCCCCCAGGGGAAAATCTTAACAGCTTTTTCTCTTCTGGGGGATTTGACCACTTGCTCAGCTCTATCTGACTTTAAACCAAATTAATCAAAATTCAATAAATGAAAGCAAGGACTATTTTGAAGGGGTTCACATAAATTCTTACAATGTTCAAAGAACATGCAGTCTTTTCCCATTAAAACATTAGTAAGTGCTAAATCAGGCTACAATTAACAAGGTGCCAGAAAGCAGAAGTACTTCCAATTTCCTGGTGCCAATTAAATTAAAACTCAGTTGAAAAAAGCAATCTCTTGCAATGTTTTTCCTAATGATTTTTAACGAGGGCAGCCAGTTTCAACCAAGTGGTGAATAGCTGAAACTTTCAACAAAAATGGCGCCCACAGCATATCGACTTTATCTTTATATTGGTGTGACCCTTTCGAGCACTGGTTACAGCCGTGTGAAAAGCAGATCCTAAAGGAACAGGGTGAAGGCGGATGCACAAATGGTGATTGCGAAGATTACCCGGGAAGGATTAGAATTCTTTCTTGAGGCAACAAAGAAAGTTCTAGAGTTCCTGCCTTCCGCACAAATGACCTCTCCCAGCGTCTCTCAAGAGTGGGTATGTACACTAACAGACTAACTTTGTTGATTACCTGATATAAAAAGCAGGGAAATGGTAAAGAATATAGAAAACAATTTAAAAGCCAGTTTTTAATATCATTTTTCTTCAAAGACCAAGGACCAGGCTATTTCTCCTACTATACAAAAAACAAACAAACAAACTACTATTCTTAGAATGTAATGAAAAACTTACCTGCACACCATTAAGGGATGCAACCCCCATATACAGGAACACACCATATAGAACAGGCATGGGGATAAACTAGGAAGGGCCACAAAAAGGGGGAAAAAAGGTTAAAAAACAGAACAATCAACAATGAATTCAGGAGTTAGAACTAGTTTAAATAAAGGTTCAAACTACGCTGAAAGGGCATGTATATAACAATATAAACTCAATGCCATCGAGTGAACTCTGATTCATAGTGAACCTAGAGGAGAGAGTAGAACTTCCTCTGTGGGTTTCAGAAACTCTTTACAGAGTAGAAAGCTGCATCTCTGTCCTGCAGCGAGACAGGTGGTTCTGAACTGGTGACCTTATAGTTAGCAGCTCAAGTATGACCCACTATACCACCACGGCTCCTGCTATAACAATATAGTGACTTCAGATCAATGTATTTACTCATCCATTGATACATTTCTCAACCATTTATACTACAAACAAGAGGAGAGGGGAAATGAAAGGAGAAAGGAGAAAGGAAATGGTCATTTTCCTTTGATGATTACCATATATACTCGAGAATAAGCCAACCCGAATATCAGCCGAGGCACCTAATTTTACCACAAGAACTGCATTAAAAATGTGCACAAACCAATGAAACATACAGTTTTTCTCTGGTTCTTTAACGCCTCCTCACGCCCAGTATCATGACCCTAATTCTACCTTACAAATCCGGCTGGACCAGAACATGTACACGGATACAGATAAGAGGTGGAAAACACAGGGAAGACAGGACAGATAAACTCCTCGGACCAATATTGAGAGTAGCCATAGCAGGAGGGTAAAGGGAAGGTGGGGGAGAGAGGGGGAACTGATCACAATGACCTACCTACAACCCTCTCCTAGGGGGATGGACAACAGATAAGGGGGTAAAGGGAGGCATCAGACAGTGCAAGACATGGAAAAATAATAATAATTTATAATTTATCAAGGTTTCATGAGGGAGGGAGAGAGGGAGGGAGGGAAGAGGAGGGAGGAGAAAAAATGAAGGGCTGATACCAAGGGCTCAAGTAGTAAGGGAATGTTTTGAAAATGATGATGGCAATATATGTACAAATGTGCTTGACACAATAAATGTATGTATGGATTGTGATAAGAGTTGTAAGAGCCCCCAATAAAATGATTTATAAAAAAAAGTGCTGAAAATTTTGGCTTATACACGAGTACACAAACTATATATAATGGCAGCATTTTTTTCTTAACTAAGGAGGAAAAGTAGTTCTGTTTGCCTTTCCTCTTAGAGAGAAAAAAAAGCTTGCTTGTAAGCCAGAAGCTCCCATGGACTGTAAGGTAGAGGCAGAGCTGTGCCTCACTCTTGAGACAAAGTTACTTTCATAACAGTCTGTGGATGGTTTTCATTAACATCTTCATCAGATGGTCTATCAGTTTGATGTCTAAATGCTTCTTTCAATGAAACAAACATCAAAGGGCTGCCCCCTTCTTCCTCTCAGGATTATTAGGAGGACTAACAGAGCACGGCTTGAAAAGATCACTGAACATCTGGAAGCGGTTAATTACATCCATGAGTTAATACAGATCTTTTGAAATTGAATTAGTACATATTAATGTATTAATTAGGAGCCATGTTAGCCCAGTGGCTTAAGCATTGTACATTGCTTAATGGAAAGGTTGGCAGTTTGAACCTACCAGCTGCACCTCATGAGGAAGAAGCAGCAGCCTTTCAGAAAGATTTACAGCCTCAGAACCCATACGGAGCAGTTCTGCCCTGCCCGGTAGGATCGGTCACCAGGGGCCAGAATCAAGTGACTTGATGCTGGTGGGTTTGGCTTTCAAAGACATTAATTAACAAAAAGTCTTTTCTGTTACTACAAAACTTTGGTAGGTAATTCTAATGTGAGGTCTTTAAACTTTCCTCCATTTAGCAAATGCCGCTGGGTAATGAAGTAGCTAAGCAAATGAAAAAGGATTACCTTGCTGGGACCTTCTGTATCTGGGCAATGAAAGGGTCTGAAAACCTTGCATATTAAACAGAAATTCAAGTACTTTCAGGAGTTTTCAAAGCTAAAATAGGACAATTATAACACCAGCAGACCGATCTTAATTAAGTCACCCAAAGGAGGCTATAGTGGCCAGAAGAAAATGTTGTGTGGCCTACGAGGAATTGTTAAATGCGACCACTTCCATTCACTAAACACAATTCTTATCAGCCTCTCTTCTACTTCTCAGGTAGGTGGCCACTACTGGAGAACTGGACATTCAAAACACACCAGGACTGATTCTACTTGTAATTGGTTAGACATAAAAGTCTTCAATTCTGAGGAACATATTTATATAAAACTCTTAATGCTTTTTCTAATAAAGGCTAATAATTTTAATATAACTAATTTGATCTCAAGGCCAGACAAAAAAGGAGTGACTGAGAATGTTTAAGGGGTGGGAGTGGTGGTGGCGGTGGTGGGAAAGCCTCTTTGCTGTAATACCCAGGAGCCACCAGGCAGAGGGGACATAGCCTGTCTGGGGCCTTGGGTTCTGATAAGCTTGCATTTCCCTTAGGCTGTGAGTGTCTTCATCCTTTACAATGCCTCTACCAAAAAATAAAAATCACGAAGCTTTGTGTCATTAATTTTCAACATTTGTAGGGGAGAGCACTTCAATTTTCTTTAATATATGATGATTTTTTCTTGTTATTTTACTTTCAATTCTTTGGGAAATTAAAAAAAAGGTGGAAGGTGAAAACTGTTAAGTATAGGTTATAAAAACTAGTTTATTTTTAATCTTTGTAAAACATTTTCCTAACTTGAAAGGAAATAATCACCAAGGTAATTCCTAGCCACATTCTCTCTCACCTCTCGTCTAAAACTAGCCAAATCTCTTCTCTAAAATGATCATAACACAAAAGAAAAGTTAAACGGTCCCTTGTTGCCCAGGTCTATTCTTTCTGGATGTATGATTAGACATATCAGCAAATCTACCACAAAAGAAAACCATAAAGTATCATTAGCCCAGAGTGGCATGGAGGATAGGAGGCCACAGCTTTATATAGGAAGACATTGCTTTTTATCACGCACGCATGCACGCAGGCAGGCATGCGCACATTATTGCCTATGGTTTAAAAGAGCCAGTGCATACAAAGATGGTTAGTATGTTATATTATGGCCCACTTTAATATGATAAAAGTATCATGTGAAATTGTCACTTTTTAAACTATTTTATCAGCTCAATAAAAACCGTGCAACTTGGAAATCATGGTAAAACCTGACAGTATTACCAGGTTAGAAGGATTTAAAAATTTATATTTGGTTTATATCATAAGGTCAATTCTTAAAATCCATCATGACACCCTAGAAATTTCTTAAAGGAAAGTAAAGAATAAGGTGTTTTTAACAGATGTCATCCCTTTAAAGTTAATTTAGCGTGGTATAAGATACTATACTATACCAACTAGAAATTTTTAAAGAGCAAAAGAGGAGAAATTAAAATATATGAAGGAAACTTTTGAGCATTTTAAGAACATCTACATTATAAAATTATATAAAGAAAATTACAAAAATAATCACATCCAGAAAGCTAAATACAGAGATATTACAAATCATTCAACATTTAATACGTATTAAATAATAAATGAAAAAGTTAACTTTACAGCCAAATGGAATAATGATATCAAGATCAAGTCTAAGACAATTGAACACATTCAGTCCACGTCACCAGTGTTTTCAAAGCATATATAGTAAGCAGAGCTGCACACTCTTTCACTTATCATTCCCTGTGACTGGCTGGCATTATTAGATACTTCCATAAGAAAAAATGCAAAAGGGCTAACTAAATAAACGGGTTCGATTTCAAAATAAAATTTAAAATGTGTACAGAATGCTTAGATTATATGGCCCACAGAACAGAATTCAGTAGTGAGATCTCCTAGCAAAATAATGGTGTGTGTGTGTGTGTGTGTGTGTGTGTGTGTGTGTGTGTGTGTGTGAATTGTTGAAATGGAGGGCTGATTTGCTCTGCGGACCTTCAATGAAGAGTTCCTTTGTGAAAATGTCTCACAGGGAAAGATTTCCGCTCATGGGAAATGAATTCTTTGGGTACAAGTATTACGTTAAACTTTCAAAGATGCGGACCATGGTAGCATGAGGCTAGGTTTGGAGCAGGAACTACCTGGGTCTGAGTCTTGGCTCTCCCATCTAAGAACTTTGTGACACCGCAAGTTAGTCTGATCGACATAAAGTGGAAATAATTCATACTTTTTTCCTTAGGCATTATTAAAGACTAAATTTTAAAATGTGCAGAATCCTTAGTCCAATACCAAGCTTAATATTGGTTGCAACCATTATAATCATAATGTAATTTCTCTTTATCTCTTAGTGAGCAGAGTGACTCGCAGGGAGGAAGAATCTAAAAATGTTTGCCAAATACAAGCTAAATATGATCCTCTATATCTTCGAACAGCAAGCAAATCTTAACGATAAATTTTAGCCATAACTCATGTTCAAAAATAAACTAACTTAAGTAAAGGCAAAAGAAGCAAAAGTGAACTTTACTTGGTCTTCATCTCTTTAGGTTTGCCAGAAGAATGCCAAAACTCTAATCAAGGAACTGAGTTTTAAAATATTTTACCTGCTCTATAGTCTCTATTCCACCTTGCAAGGGGCTGGCCTGCTAACCACAATGCCCCAGTTCAAACCCCCCAGCCTCTCTGTGGGAGAAAGACAGGTCTTCCCGCTCCCATAAAGATTTTCACCTCAGCCACGCACAATGTCAGTCCTACTCTGTGCTATATGAGTTGGCATCGACTCGGTGGTAGTGAATCGGGTTTTTGGTTTTATACACCCATACAGAAAATCATATAAACATATTATTCTCATAGCAAAAAACACAGACTGAACTATTTAGCCAGCTGAGTAAGGCAGTTCTGCTTCCTTCCAACAGTTGTGAAAGAAATCAACAGTTAGTGCCTTGAAGCCAGTATGACGCTGGCCAGCTCAGGTTGAGGGGGTATCCTTGTGAATTTAAAGCTAGTGCACTAAAATTCCTCTGTTCTTCCACATAAAAAGGCCGATTTCAGCAAAGAGATCGCAACAGAGGTCATAAACTTCATGTTCAAAGTAAGCCTGCAAAAGTGGCTGGGGAGAACAACTTCCTATGTGCTTACTGCATGGAAGATAATTATTATGATCATCTGATCACACCAAGTGTAAAAGATGTGTGGGGGAGGGGGTTAGGTAGGGAAGCTGTTGAGATATTTGATTTTAAAAAGTAAAAGGCACACGTGTCTCTTGATCCATCCATTTGATCTGCTTTTCAAGGGTAGTTGCTTAAGAAAAAACATTCTCTGGAGTTGTCACCTGCTTCTTTAAATAATATACAGTCACACAGTAAGGGGGGGGGCAGTCTCCCTTCACCAGTGTGACCCCCGGCATCATTTGCTGGGCGAATTTTGAGGTTAATTGTTAATCCTGCCTTTTACTTAGTAATAATTTAGGTTTTCATTAAACTGTACCCTCAACCTCCACTTTCTCCTGCATTGACTTTTCAAATGAGGCAACCAGCGTGGTGTGCGGGATGCCCTACATGCCAAGGGGAGAAGGGCAGGTATGCATGGTCTGACATTAGCCGACTTCATCAGCAGCAGCGGTTCCTGAAGCAAGGATTAACCTTACTACTCATTGAAGGATGAATCAGAGTAGCTAATGTCGGACACATTTATTCTTGTGCTTGGTTTTAAATCTAGATTTTCCATAATATACATACTACATATATTCAGATAATATTTATATATTATATATTAAACTATAGTAATGAAACAAGTTCATTTCCTACATTTTGGGTGAAAGCTTGCCAAACAAAAATGTTTGCTAGACTATCTGTTTTCACTAACATGTCCCATGTCTCGCTCGTTGGGTACACCTAAAATTGCCAAGTGGAAATAGCCACAAATACAGACACTAGCAGCTAATCACTCAACACAGGAATCACTTAAAGACAGTCAAATGGCAAAGCAAGCTCATGCTTATCAATCCTTGAATTTTTCCTTTTACTTTCTGTGTATTCCAATCTCTTCCTCTGGGATCAAGGGGCTTTGCATATAACAGGCAAAGGGAATCACTGTAAAGAACAAAAGAGCTTTTAGCTTTCCCTCCTCTGCAACCATATTTGGATGCAGAGTGAGAAAAATAGTTAGGAAGAGGCGTTGTTGAAAATGTGAGCCTTGCCTCGCTTCCTAAAAATAGCCATTTATACAGTATCTGCTCTCTGGGTCCCTCTGGCATCATGCATGGTCACTCAGCTGGCAGTCTCCAGTGCTAAAGCCAATTTGTGATAGCTGTAACAATAAAGACTGTAAAACATACCTGACTCTTTTGAATTGCAATGTTACACTGCACTAATGAAAAGTATTGTAAAAATACGAGGAAAATGGGTGAGAGTAATGACGTTTAAACCTGTGGAAAGATTTCCGTCCATCTATACTTCGCTAGTAGATACATATACGCACACACTGCTCTTTGGTTGATTTTGAATAGCAGCAACCCTCTAGGCCTGAGAAGACTTGGTCCATATAGTTTCCAAGACTGTCCTTTTGTCTGGGAGCAGACAGACCATCTTTACCCCTCTGAGGGGCTGGTGGGTTCAAACCAAACCTGGGGGTTCTACAACAAACCGAATTCACCTCCATCAAGTTGATTACAGCTCCTAGTGGCCCTCTAGGGGGAGTGGAACGAGTCTTGTGGGGCTCTGAGACTATACACCAGTGGTTCTCAACCTGTGGGTCGCGACCCATTTTGGAGTCAAAGACCCTCTCACAGGGGTCGCTTAAGACCATCAGAAAACACATAAATGTTTCACAATATATAATTACAATTGTTTGTGATTAATCAGTATGCTTTAATGTTTAATAATGTTCAATTTGTAACAATGAAAATATATCCTGCATATCTGTTATTTACATTATGATTCATAACAGTAGCAAAATTACAGTTATGAAGTAGCAACGAAAATAATTTTATGGTTGGGGGGGTCTCCACAACATGAGGAACTGTATGTAAGGGCCGTGCGTGGCATTAGGAAGGGTGAGAACCACTGCTCTAGGTGGAACCAATTATTAATGAGCTCAGCTACTAATCAAAAGATGGGAGCTTGAAATCCACCCAGAGGCACCTCAGAAGAAAGGCCTGGTGATCTGCTTTCAAGAAATCAGCCCACATGGAAGAAACACACCAGCCTGTGTGATCATGAGGTGTCGACGGGATCAGGTATCAGGCTTCAAAGACGGAGTACAAAAAATCATATCAATGTGTTTGAGCGGAGTGCAGAGTGGAAACCCAAAGCCCATCTGTAGACAATTGGATATCCCTTAGCAGAAGGGTCACAAGGAAGGTATGAGCGAGTCAGGGTGCAGTATAGCACCGATGAAACATACAACTTTCCTCTAGTTCTTTAATGCTTCCTTCCCCCACTATCATGACCCCTATTCTATCTTACAAATTCCGCTAGACCAGAGGATGTACACGGGTACAGATAAGAGCTGGAAACACAGGGAATCACGGACAGATAAACCCCTCAGGAGCAATAACGAGAGTAGTTATATTATGTGGGTAAGGGGAAGGTGGGGGGAGAAAAGGGGAACTGGTCACAATGATCTACATATAACTCCCTCTCAGGGGGACGGACAACAGAAAAGTGGGTGAAGGGAAACATCGGTCAGTGAAAGACATGAAAAAAAATTTATAATTTATCAAGGCTTCATGAGGGAGGGAGGGTGGGGTTGGGGGAAATGAGCTTACACCAAGAACTCAAGTAGAAAGAAAATGTTTTGAAAATGATGATAGCAGCATGTGTACAAATGCGCTTGACACGATGGATGTCTGTATGGCTTGTGATGAGTTGTATGAGCCCCCAATAAAATGATAAAAAAAAAAGCCCTAGTGGCATGTGGTTATGCTTTGACCTGCTAAGTGCAAGTCCACAGTTCAGAAACACCAGTGGCTCCAGGGGAGAAATGTGGGCAATTCTACTCCTAGAGTTACAGTCTTAGAAACCCACATGGGCAGCCACGTCCCGTAAGGTCGATATGATTCGGCCTCAATTCAATGACTATCTGTTTGGTTTTACGGTTTTTGGAATCTTACTCTAATTTTCCTTGGTGGGGGAGTAGGCCTTCTGCTTCAAAGAAAACAGAAACACAGTCAGCAATAATTAAGAATAGGATTAAAAAATTCAAAATGATGATCCTGAGTCACTAACGCTATGGAAGCTCCTCATGGGAGGCCCGATGAACAGCAACGGCTGGTCCACTCAGGGAAGGAATGCAGGGAGAGTAAACACTGCAGGGAGAAAGATCACCCTGAGTTAACATGAGAATCAACCGTACGGAATGATCACTTCCACGAGTCAAAATGTTTAAATAGCGGCAACTTCATAATTCGAACCAACGAGTGTAACGACTGATAACCTAACAGTAAGGTAAAGGGCGAAGCAGTGAGAGGGGAATCAAATTAAAAGTGTCTTCTGTTAGCCTCTGCTTTATCTGACCCTTAACTCAGTGTTTTATAAAACTCTGATGATAATCTTCTAAGTACTGCATAAGGAAACGGTAGTTTTCACATGTCCAGTGATCAGGGTTGCTGAACGGGAAGGAGAGGCACACATGTCACATATCTACCTTCAGGATGGGGGCCATGAAGACTGACAGGCCGGTCAGAATAAACACCAGGGTTCCAGTGACTCTTTGTTCCCTGAAACAAAATCAAAAGATTACCCATTTACCTCTTGTTTTCATAAGTGCAGTCTTATCTTTTAACCTACTAAAGATTAAACATTGACCAAAGCAATGCTTAGCTAAAATGTCAAAAGTGCTGATATCATAGAATACAAGCTTAAAGACAGCACATAACAACATCACTGTAATGTGTTTTTTCTTCCAATTGCAATACAGAAATGACTTCTTGAAAAGTGAATGATCTTCCTACTCTGTCCTTTTAAAAGCAAGGAAGGAGACTCCCTCCCGCTTAGTCTATCGGCTACTACCCTTCTTGAAGCCCTTCACTTTTAAGTCACCTGTTCTGTTGTGTAATTATACCTTCTTTCACTGGAGACAGATATTACATTGTCCCACATGCTATTAACAAACAGCTCATGGAAATTTCGGGAGGGCAATAAACCCCATCAGACTCATTTCTAAATCTACAACAAGACTATTTTTCACCAAATATGTTTCTCGTCCAACACCCCTCCTCCTCTAACCCTCAGGAAAGAATCACCTATTGTGTGGCGTGGGAAACGATGTTCTGTCACATGAACTATCCATCCCCAAACACAGGAGGAAAATACTCGACAGGGCATAAAGGTCTTCAACCTTGCCCTTCACATTATCCAAATTTAATAATGGAGGGTTGAGGTCAAAGTTTCTTTTGCTTATGGGACAAAAAAATTAAACTCAAAACTAAGAAGTCCTATCCCATTATAGAACCGTAAAAACTACAAGTAGATTTAAGAACTTTATGGAATCTCAACAGAGTTGGAATTCAAGGGCTCGCCTCCTATCGGTAGGACCTTGAGGGCAAGTGCCACAGCACCCAGATGCCCTGCATGTTGCGGAAAGCAGATGACCTACTTAGGCCTGCCCATGACTTCACTTAGCATTTTGTTAATTAAAGAAAGTTTAAGTATAACAAGCAAATGGAAACTGAAAGAAAAATCACTGAAGATTACCTTTCTGATACAAATTTAGTCTTTCCTAGAACAAAAGGTTTAGAAAGAAATTAATCACACCAGCCCATTCTCCTCCAAATCTTCCCTGGTGATTACCACGCGTGTGCGCACAACATGTTTGAAGAGCTATTCTCCTCCGACTTACGTACCTCACTCCTAAGAACTTGGGTTGTTCTCCAGGTGCGGAAGTCTCTGTCTCCATCTTCAAGCTGTCGATGTGAGCAATGGAGATGACAGTGGCAGCCACGTACCACGGGAGAGCCATGAAGGAGCACACCACCATGAGGATGGCCACCCAAAAGAGATCCAGGTGATAGCCAGCACCTTTCTGCAGGAAGATGGAGATTTTTTTTTTTAACATTTTATTAGGGGCTCATACAACTGTTATCCCAATCCATACACACATCAATTGTGTAAAGCGCATTTGTACATCATTCTCAAAACATTTTCTCTCCATTTAAACCCCCGACATTAGGTCCTCATTTTTCCCCTCCCTCCCCCCTCCCTCATGAGCCCTTGATAGTTTATAAATGGGTATTTTGTCATATCTTGCCCTGTCCGGCGTCTCCCTTCACCCACTTTTCGGTTGTCCGTCCCCCAGGGAGGAGGTCACACACAGTTCCATGTAATCGGTTCCCTCTTTCCTACCCATTCTCCCTTTACCCTCCCTGTTTTGCCACTCACACCACTGGTCCTGTAGGGCTCATCCGCCCTGGATTCCCTGTATTTTCAGTTCCCATCTGTACCAGTGTACCTCCTCTGGTCTAGCCAGACTTGCAAGATCGAATTCGAGTCATGGTAGTGGGAGCGGGGAGGAAACATTTAGGAACTAGAGGAAAGTTGTATTTCTCATCATTGTTACATCGCACCCTGACTGGCTCATCTCCTCCCCGAGACCCCTCTGCAAGGGGATCTCCAGTGGCCTACTAATGGGCTTTGGATCTCCACTCCGCACTCCCCCCATCATTCACTATGGTAAGATTTTTTGTTCTGATGATGCCTTATACCTGATCCCTTCGACACCTCGTGGTTGCATAGGCTAGTGTGCTAGGAAGACGGAGCTTTTGTAGAGAAAATCCTCCTATTTCCCACCCAGCAGTTTTCCCAGGATAGACTTAAGATTACCCAACGGAGCCATATTTTTCACCTGGCAAAAATATCAACTGGAATATCAGCTCTTTGAGAGAAAGAACTGCACATTCCTCACTTTGCTCTTTGTCCCCTTGCCCCAACGATGACACACAAAAGTGCCACGTGCCATCTTCTTCACAATGAGAGCTTTGAAAAGCTGTTCATCTTAGATGCGGTGCAGCTTCACTGAACACTTTTGCATGGCCAGTCAGCTGGGCTTCATCCGGTTGTTGCAACCTGAGCAGTGGAGATGTATGTCTACCTTGATGAGTTTGGGGGGATCCAATGAGGCCACAGAAGAAAAGCATTTAGTAGAAATGTACATGGTAGTGCTTGTTGTGCAGTGGGACTCAATCAATGGTACTAGTAACAGGGGGAGTACTGATGGAGCTGCTCCTCATTAAGCCCCTTGAAGGCATGCACCATCCCTCTCTGCTTGGCAATGTGAAATAGTGTGCAATTCACCAGATCTGAAAGCAATCTTGACTACATTTGTAGAAGATCATTTCTCACCGTTCTTCATACTTAAAACGAACAAACAACTACATGTTCTCATTAAAGAAATTAACACAGCCTTAATCACAACTGACCAATTTCAAACATTGCTCACTGGTCGTAATAAACGCCGTTCACTGACTGGAGGAGCAGACATTGTAACAAGGGGTCTAGCGCCTTTATTCACTAAGTAAACATTATTCAGGGAGTCCACAATGTTATTCCATGGTTATATTTCTCTGCTTTATTTATGAAGAAAGCAAAGGCTTAATGCCCCTGTGGAGTCTGTGAAAACAGAGCAGTCCATTTTCACAGCAGGGAAGCAACATGACCCAGAGCAGCAGTACCACCAATCCAAGGGAATGGAGCGCGTGGCTTTAAGAAGGGGGAATGTGATTCACACTGGAAATCCAGGGACTGTTATCGTTCAGGTCCTGTTACTAGTAGAACGCTGCTCTCCTCTCCCAGAAATGCCAGGATTTCACCCCTGGCTCGCACACGTGGGTCTAATCATGTTCTCAGAGAGCTCAGCCCAGGGAAGGAGAGATGACAGGAAAAAGCAAAGCAGCTTTGGCTGCGGATGAACCGACGTGGGAGACGAGGAGGCTGCTACGTAGTCATTAAAACAAGCCACTTCCTTTCAGGAAAGTGTGATGGCGTGAACTGGAAATGGCAGGGCGGAAGACGGGCAAAGGTAAGGAGGAGCTGAAACAAAGTTCTTCAAAGTGTCTAGTGAAGGAACACCATCGGCTCCCTGCAGTCTCAGGTATTCGTGCTGTCAACAGATATTGACAGTCCACTTGGTAAAGGGCACAGTTCTAGGTGTTGGTGATCCTGTGTGACGATCACCTGTTCCGTGGCTCTGTAATAGTCGGTGGTTATACACATCTGTGAATTCAGCAGACAACAACCTCTCCCTTCATTGAGCTTACAGTCTATGGAAGGAAATAATCTACACAACTAAAGTAAGTGAAAGATGCAGCCCAGCCTATGAAAGCTCGGACACATGGAAAACAGAACCCTGGCAGAGGAGAAAACGCAAATATTTCCCACTTAAACAAGGCAAAGAAAAATAGAAAGCCTGCACCCTGGCAAAGGCAGACAACTTGCCAGACCTGGAAAACAGGGCAGTCTCATCAAGTTCTGGCTCTCATTGTGTATTAATGGTACTGAGTACTAAATCTTGTTGACCGTGGCTTTGATACTGAGTGTAAGAGGAAATCATTGGAGGGCTTTGAAGAGAGGCATGACGCGTTATGTTCTACACTCTGACTCCTGTGTTCAGTATAGACTGAAGAGGGTCAAAAAGACTGTGACCAATTGGGATGCAGCTGTAACGCAGGAGACTGTGGTAGTTTGAACAAGAGTCGTTTGAAACAGTGGTTGTCACATGCACTTGATCTGGCTAAGTCCTAATTAGAATTTTGGACTCAGTGTAACCTCCTCTGGCTCAGAGGACTTTCTGCAACGCCTGGGGCAGGTTCTTCCAAATCACTGCCACCTCTCCCTCGTGCCACAATGTGTGTGATTATTTCATGAATGCCTCTTCTTCATAAACCCGAAGCTTCATTAAAGACAGGGACCATGAGTCTTTTGGTTCACCAGAGAAACCCCAGCACCTGCCACAGTGCCATCAGAGAGAGGAAACTCTAGATAAATGTTTGTTGGATAAACCAGCAAATATTAATTCCTTCACTCAATGCTGCCACTATTCCAGGCCTTGGACATAAAATGACTACAGAGGCAAGCACAGTGCCATAGCAGCATGCAGGAGGGGTACCAACTCATCCCACAATAAGAATTGGTTTGCATAGAAAGTATTATCTAAGCTGAGTCCTAAAACATCAGCTGCAGGAAGCTGGGAGACGAATTATGAGAAGCAGGATGAAAAGTCAGGAACATGTTGAAAAGATGAGATGGAGTTGGTGTGAGAAATACTGATACAGACATTAGAGCTTTAAGGAATGTAAATTAATGACTTTGGAAAGTTTTATGGAAGGGATGAAGGTTTCTAAACAGATTTCCCTTAGAAAGACCGCTTTTTTTCATTTGTGGAAAATATATTAGACATAGTCAAAATAGTAGACAGAAAGGCTATAAAAGATCCCTGTAATAATCTAAGCTAAGTGATAGCATTGGGGAAAGATGATTGATAAACGTGAAGAATTTAAGGAGACTGAGTCAGAAATGGAAAGCAATACATTCACTGTACCAAATGTCAAAGTTCAAGGCTTATTATGCTAAGATCATGTGCTACATACAGTACACAAGGGAGTCATGGTGTTAACAGAGTGGTAAAAAATATGCTGCAAAATTCACAGTGCCTCAATTATTGCTATAAAGACCACAGAACCCAAGGGGTTATTTTAGTGCTGTTCCTACAAAACAACCTATACATATGGAAACAAGCTCGTCTTAATATGTCCCTTTAGCTAAAAATATCTGAGTGACTATGTTTGGATGGAATATAAATAATATTCAAATATTGGCACTTTTTCCAGAAATAATACTGGAAGAAATACAGAAAACCACATTTTTCAAAAATAAAGCGTGGGATTTTTTTATCTGGGCCTTATTCTTCTTCCCCTGGGTCCCTGGCTTTTTCAGACTCTCCTAAGCTCTCACTCAGAGTGCACTGGGGCATCCTCGCTGCTCTCTCCACCTCCCTCCCCTCTTGTCTCTCTCCCATTCATCCTACTGCTGTCAGAAGAGCATCAAAAATGCAGTTCGGATCCCATCAGCGAGTTGGGAAACCAAGCAGGTTAAGGCAAATCACAACAAACCACTCTGTCCGGGCGGGGCTCCTAGATCTGGCCCGGTGATGGGGCCCTGGAGGGTTTCCTGCACCTTTGACCAGTCCTGTCCTTCCATAAATGCCACTTTGCAAGTGCCCATTCTGTTTCAACTCCTTGGTATGTGTTTATATCTGGCCTTTCTCTTCAAGGCCCGGGCTCAAATTCTCCTTTCTTCACACCACTCCAGCAGCCCGGGGTCCTGAAGGCTGCTCTTTTCTCAGAAGGCCCTGCTCAATGATACTTGCCTGCTCTAAACTCTTCAAAGGCTTCCTGCTGTACTCAGGGGGCAGAGGTCAAACCCATACACTCTATGCTACCAATTTCAAGGTTCGATATTAGTGGTCCTTACTGGGAATGATTGGCTATGTCTGGAAACAGTTTGAGCTAGCACTTCTTAGAGGTAAGGGTGCTACTGGTGTCTGGTTGACAGAAGGAAGAGATGCTACTTAACATCCTAGAATGTACAGGGCACCCTCACCCCACAAACCCAGCCTAGAATGCCACTAATGACAAGGTTGAGAAACACAACCTATGAGGATCTAGTCCCACTAACTCTTACCTCATATTAAACTAATAATGCCCCATGTTCCAGCCACAAAGACCAGCTATCTGTTTCTTACCCAGAAATACATGCAGGGCCTTTTAATTTGGTTATATCCTTGCTTGGAAAACCAATACTTCATAAACATTTATCGAACATCTAGTCTGTACTGGGCCCTGTGTTGAATATGAGTAGATTTCAAAAAGTTCAGGGGAAAGTTTCATTATTTATATATAAAATGTCATAAATCCATGTCCCTACAAATTACTTGAAGCCCCGTCATATAGGACAGAACACCTGTCTTTATAAGGTTAATGATGGTTGGATGAGGCTGGAACGTGACACAACTCATTTAATGTGCATGCG